GACGTAATTCAAAATGATCAGTCTGCTTTAGATATGTCTTTTGTAAGCAGAATACCTACGGTTTAAAATCTTGGACTAAAACATGTAAATCATTCAAATTGGTCCTGAGTCCTCTACAGTTCCTCTGTATTAGAGGTGAAGAAACTATCTCTTCAGGGGATTAACAGGAGATCGACCCCTTACTTTCCTCAAAGGTGACAAGCTATGTGTCCTACCATGGTTGTGGTCGGACACATCCATGTCTTCGAGTGATCCAAACTTGTTAAATATTTGGACCTGATTATTAGCCCCCTTCGGGGTTCTACCACTTTGATTCTTTTAAATTGTTTCAGCTCTAGAACTGGATTTGATTTTTTCAATTTGTTTCTCATTTATGTCTGATTTTGATTTTTGAGATGATGTTTTTATGTGAGATGAGGACGAATCCTTATCGCTAGATGCCGTAGGCTGATTTAATGTTTGTGAACTGGATGTTTGTGTAGGTTTGCGGCAGATATCAAGGTTGGAGCAGAAGATTTTGCCCAAGTGTATTCGGTCTGGCAAGCTACCGATTTACATGAAATAGATCTGGGAGTTGACGTTGAAGCAGAAGTAGAAGCAGTTGCGGCGACATAAGACGGGCCAGGAGTTTCCTGAGCCATGACGTATTTCTTAGCCTCGAAAAAGGTGATACATCGGTCATGTTTGACACGTGAATTTTTTGACTGGAGTTTCCATGTCGGACATTCTCTGGAAGACGACGGATGTCAGATAAGCAACGTCCTACATCATGGACGATGCCTTTGCTATTGTTGAGTGTCCTGTGAGATGAAACCTTTACAGGAACATTCGCCAGAGAAGTAGTTGAAAGCAGCACTTGTGATTGAATTTGTTTCTTGCATTCAATAAGGAGAGACCCAGATCGTAATTTTTTAACTTCTTTGACTTCGCCAAAAGTAATAATTTTCAAAAAGTCAAAAGTGTGCAAAAATACCGGGCCAGTTCTACCACCCTTATAGGTGAAGTAAGGGGCGAAGTGGTGTGTTGGGCAAAGGAACGCTATTCCTGGGACCAGTGCCCTCAACCACCAGACTCCCGTCCACCACCGACACAGGGGCGCAACCCACGGCAAACGGGTTGGTGGACCAAATATACCACCGGGTCCACAACGGGGGGTTGAAGAGCGCTTAGCGTTACCCAGCACCCACCACGAGGAGGTGGCTCTTCACGAGTGCCTATGGATTTTTAGGAAGCTTTGTATTCCGACGTTTTTGCTTATATTTGAATAGCTGGCAGGCTGAGTATGGTTTTACGCCGCTTTTAGCAATATTCCAGCGATATCACGGCGGGGGACACCAGAAATCGGCTTCACAAATTGTATCCATGTGGGGAATCGAACCCGGGCCTTCGGCGTGACGAGCAAACGCTTTAACCACTAGGCTACCCCACCGCCCCTTGAATTGCTGACGAAGATTGTATTTATTTACTGATGGAGAAGTCATGAGTCAACTTTAGGTTTAAAGTAGTACACTGGGTCTTGTCAGCTTTATGAAATGGTATTTACGTCCTGTAATTGCTCAGTCTGTACGTATTATATACTGATGGGCAAAAGGACCTTTCTGTGGCAAAATCTGTCATAATATTAACATAAGAAAATATAATCAAAAGCAAATTGCCAACAACAAGGGTTCGATTCTGACCAACAGCAGCGCTCAAACGTACCACTTGACAACTTTACATCGAAAATAGCAAAATGCACGTGTTTTGCAGTTAAGGGTAATATGCACGTGCATGCATGGTATAAAACCACCTCATAGTTTAGAACAGATCGTACTTCAGCAGAAACCCAATTTAGAATGTCGAGGTCAACTTCAGCAGAGCGAGAGAGGGCCATCAGAATGTTACAAATGGGCGCAACAACGGGTCACGTTGCAAAAACCTTCAATTGCTCCGTCGTGACCGTCAGGAACCTACGTCTGCGTTACCAACAGACTGGTCAGACCTCAGACAGGCCCCGGACAGGCAGACCCCGGGAGACAACTGCGCAGTAAGACCGCCACCTAAGGACATTATACCTTAGAAACCGCTTCCTGATGGTAACGTCATCAGCGTCAGCAGCACTGGGTCACCCAGTGAGTCGAAGAACATTGAAAAGGAGACTATGCGAATGTGGTTTCAGGGCCTACCGACCGTACCGAGGAACGCTGCTGACAGACAAACATCGTCGCCTGAGGCTCCAATGGGCGACAAGAGTCATACGTTGGAAGCTGCGTGACTGGCGTCGAGTGCTGTTTTCCGACGAAAGCAGATACTGTATATCAGGGGGCGATGGACGAGCTAGAGTTTACAGGAGGAGAGGCGAAAGGACAGCTCGCTGCTGCGTCCAGGAATCGGAGCCGTATGGTGGAAGCAGTGTCATGGTATGTGGCGGCATATGTGGTGACCTAAGGACAGTACTGGTTGTTATCAACGGTAATCTGGCAGCTCAACGTTATATTAAACAGGTACTTCGACCGACAGTTCTCCCGTTTTATCAGCAACAGCCACAGGGGATATTGTTCCACCAGGACAATGCTCGCCCACAACTTCTTTCACGCCAACAACGTCAACGTCCTGCCATGGCATACGCGCTCTCCTGACATGTCGCCAATCGAGCGCTTATGGGACCACCTTGATAGAGTTATTCGATTGAAACAGAATCCACCAGTTACAGTACAACAAATGGCTCAAGCCCTTGTCGAAGAATAGAGGCGTATCCTAGCTGACGTTATCAAACGCCTCACAACTTCAGTCAGAAGACGTGTCTTTGCATGCATTCTAGCCAGAGGTGGACCTACTCGCTATTAGAGACTTCTGTTCACGCTTTGCTGTGTTTCTCGATTGGACTATGTTATGGCGTCATAATAGTGAGGTGCAGGTGCAAGCATTCTCAGTCAAGTCAAACATACGCAAAGTCTCGTTTCCTGTTGACTGGGTTCCGTCCTATTGCTCAACTTAGTACAATAACCAGTCCAGAATTTTGAGACCAATTCATTTAACTGGATGCATTAATATTAATCAGTATTATCTGATACATCTAAGCACTTTTATAATGCAACACTACGCTCCTTATAATCCTTGCAAACGTGTCGTGCAGCGGTCTCTGTCGTACAGCGAGCACTGACAATCAGTGATGCCAACGTCATGCTATCCGACCTCGTTGTTGTGCTACATACACTCAATAACTCTACTATGACAATGTCATATTCCTTTGAATGCTGAAAACCCTTGAAGATCCGGGGTAGAATAGGTCTTCAGCAACCCATGCTTGCCACAAAAGGCGACTATGCAGGGATGCAGTACAATATGAAATAAGAATTCATTTATTTACACAAAAATGGCTAACTATTCAAATAAATACACTGTCTTTGTTGCGACTAACGGGATCGGGTGGTCAGGCTTGATGACTTGGCCGTCATCGGTTCCACATTGCGCAGATACCCGTGAAGATCCGGGGTAGAATAGGTCTTCAGCAACCCATGTGCTTGCCATAAAAGGCGACTATGCTTGTCGTAAGAGGCGACTAACGGGATCGGGTGGTCAGGCTCGCTGACTTGGTTGACACATGTCATCGGTTCCCAATTGCACAGATCGATGCTCATGCTGTTGATCACTGGATTGTCTGGTCCAGACTCGATTATTTACAGACCGCCGCCATATAGCTGGGATATTGCTGAATGCGGCGTAAAACTTAACTCATTCACTCAATCATTTAAATGCTGAAATCAGTGCTGTCATACGCAAGATCAACAATCAACCTAGAACATTTGTCTTGAACCCATGCCCCTTTCATCAATATATTTGCTGACATCGGTATCTTTAGTATTGAGTGACTGAGTATGGTTTTACGCCGCCTTTAGCAATATTCCAGCAATATCACGGCGGGGGACACCAGAAATGGGCTTCACACATTGTGCCCATGTAGGGAATCGAACCCGGGTCTTCGGCGTGACGAGCGAACGCTATAACCACTAGGCTACCCCACCGCCCCATTTAGTCACGAGAGAATGGAGATAAATCTACTCCCTTTTCAAATATACACATGGTTTGTTTAGATTTGTCCTCGTTAAAGTTAACACTTTTCATCTCCACGGTGTGCATTATAGAACAAACTTTATGGATAACAACATTTTATTCGTGAGTCCGACGTTTCGATACAGATTCTTGTACCGTTGTCAAGCATAATAGAACATGAAGAAAGGGGAAGTATATACTGGATGTAACAATGTAACAAAGAAAACAACATTATTAACATAATTGGCTAGGCAGTAAGCTGGAGAAGCCAGAGAGTTGACAAAGGACAGACGTGGAAGCCAATGATGTACAAATAATAATGAGATGTTTATACAGCAGAGTTTATACAGTAGATTGGGCTTGGTGGATGAGTGCATCATAAGCGGATGGAATGAAGTATCCTTGGTCTCGGTTGATGATGGCCCACCATAAACTCTGCTGTATAAACAACCTAAACATGTTTCCCAATTGGGTTAAAGTGAACATATAAAGTAAGGAATAAGCTTCTTTTGTATTTTAACAACAGTGTGTGTAATTACGATAAAACATATCACTGGTTCCTATGACAACCACGATCATCAGTCTGCAGGAACACAGACGCCTATGTTTTGTTTAGAGCGTTTTACTGCTTGACAAACAGAACAATGAAATCGACATGGTTGACCAAAGGCGAAAATGTCTTTCTGTTTGACACGGGATATTTACTCAGTCGATCCATGCAGGTTTTTATTGTGATTATGGAATCTAACACACGGAATCAATGCATGATATGAAGACCTTGTAATAAAGAGTATGAGCATAAATTGGAGATTGATTCGTCACTGGCAAATGTGTAATGTTTTAAACTATTCAAACATGGCTTCTGCAGTTCATTCTGTAAACATTAGTCTGGATTGAAATGCTGCGATTCTCGTCAGAAGCATTAAATATAATGTAAAGACTGCTGCGTCATACAGCGTTGTGTCAGAATGGAAAAAGAACTCTTCTTTTTACTTATGTGTCCTGCAGTTATGTCCAATGTTACCCTCCTTTCTCCGAGAGATTTAGTGTCAGAATATGTATCTAACCACAATCGTCTGGATCATCCGGTGCCTATTTCCATGTCCATTCTGAAAGTGTCTGTCAACTTTAATCTGCTACATATTGAAGATCTGGATGAGTCAAAACAAATGTTGACCACTACTGGATGGTTCTTCTTCACGTGGACTCTCGAAGGATTGACATGGGATGAAAGTAAATTTCCGAATATCACACGAGTCTCAGTCTCATCAACAGACATATGGTTGCCAGATTTAGTGTTGTCAAACTCTGATGGCCGTCTTGGGGGCGAACATCAACCATGCACTATTAGCAACAATGGAACTGTGGAGTGGTACGCCATAGATCGCCGCTCAACGTCTTGCACTGTGGATGTCACAGGCTTCCCGTTTGACAAACAACGCTGTTCCTTAGAGCTGACACAATGGGTTACACTCACCTCAGAGATAGACTACGTATTTCACGATGTACCAATATCCTTTACCTCACTTAAAGAAAATGGGGAGTGGGAGGTCTTGGGTTCGTTTGTAAAGGAATATTACGAATATGAGGGTCTGTATCAGATCCTGGAGTTGGGACTTATACTTGGTCGGCGTCGAACTTTCTACATGCTTACTGCTGTTTTGCCTGTTTGCATCCTATCCTGTCTCAATCTAATGGTGTTCCGCATGCCCCCGGAGTCAGGAGAGAAGATGAGCCTGTGTGTGTCTGTGTTTTTGGCCTATGCAGTGTACCTGACATCCATCAACTCCTTCTTACCCTCTGTGTCCGACCAAGTGGCTCTCTACAGCGTTTATCTGAACTGCATGTTTGTCCTCAAGGCGCTGACTGTTGTGGCGTCAGTCTTTGTCCTACACCTTCACTCAGCACTGCCGAAGTCGACAATAAGAAAACAGCTGACAAAGCATCTTTCTGTCAATCCAAAGAAAGCTACAACCGGTGCCTTTTCAACTGGTAATCCCGATGAAGCTAATGACCCGAATGATGCATCTGTGAAACCTAACATGAAGGCCGTGGACGTCAAACAGGTGCTGGAACAAGAACAGTGGTTTGATATTGTCAAAAAGGTGGACTTTCTGTTCTTTTGTGTTTTCTTAATGTTGTTCATTTTGTCAACATGTGGATTTTTCTGCGCAATTGCATTCAGACAAGAGTGATTTAGCTGATGTGATTGATTCAGTCTTACAATAATATGACATGTTCGTTATGCTGTAAATCATTTATTAATCACTTGATTCTGACTGATTAGTCACAGATTGTCAAATGACAATAAATTGCCTTTAGTTCAAACAGTCAGTTTGACGGCAAGATTTTCAGAGAAGTGTTTTTAAACTCTCATTGTCGGTAGTCATTTTTTTACATAATCATATTATTTTACATAATCATATTATAAAATGCACAGGTACAATTCCTGCAAAACGGACCCCAAACACTTGTGCATAAGCACACTAGCAATATACAAAGCGAACGTATTTCAGATTATGGGACAAAAAAAATCTTGAAACTGGGCGATTCGTTGCATCTGTGTATAAGAGTAAAAGGGTATTATTTCGTCAGAACAGTGATGTGCGTCTGTAAGCATTCTCAGTTTGATTTAGTGATGCCTGCTTCATGTTATCCGATGCTGTCAGTGCCTGTTCTATGTTTGAGTGAGATATGTTAGAGTTGTTTCTGTGTTAGAGTTGTCAGTGATTCCGTGATCCCGATCAACCACCAGCTCAGAACATTTGACTAACCCATGCCGTTTTTGTCAATACATATGTTTGCTTTGGCTTATTTACCTATGACATAATGGAAATAAACTACTAAATTAACATTCCCTTGTTTCAAACTCGGGTTATGGTTTAGGAAATACATCAAGTTTGTCAACTAGTATTCTGACATACAACTCATTTTCACCAACTCATAAATATAACGCCCATGGACGGATAACATTTCGTCTCTTGGACGAACAATGATTTATTGGCTTAAAACTATTTTGCTTGCCAAATACGTGATAGTGTTTCTTCAAGTTTTGTGACTCGAAACTCGATTTTTTTTTTTTTCGCCAATGAACGAAAACAGTTCAGCCTATTCCATCAAAGTGTTAGGTAGGGAAAGATATGGTTACCGTATTCAAGACAAATAGTCAAAGTTGTGTCATAGTTTCTCTACTCAAGACGACGGTACATGCATATACAAGTATCTCAACATCTTATGTGAAAGGGGGTTACTGTAGTTTTCACTGGATGTGATTCAGCTTTTCAAATTACAACAATTTGGAACAACACAAGAATAAATAGATGGGCATGTTTTCGCAGAATACAAATTTGCTCATAAGATCACCCTTTTTTAAATAACGTGGTTTACGGACCCGCCGGCCCTAAATTTGTGGAAATTAGAAGGGAAAAAATGGAAATTGCCGGGTTTTTTCCCGCCGACTGGACAAATATTTGCTAACTATTCTGCAAACACTAGTTGGGAGATAAAATGGAATAAACAGCGGCATATTTGTTTGCAATTTTTACCCTGTTTAGGAAATATTCTCTGAAATGGCATTTACGATCGTACTTGTAGGCGTGGTAAACAAATAAGAGTTATGCGCCCCTTACTACAGCGCCCTCTAAGCGTCGTCTGCAAATGACAAGTACGAAATACAATGGGAATCTGACAGGTTTTGACACGTTTAACCTTGATGACATGCAGGCATGCATGAATGCTTGCATGCACGCTTCTATCCTTTTTTTTTCTTTGGAGCAAAATAGAATTTCAAGGAGCATGGAAAATTTATAGGGAGCACTGCATGATTCGTTCGAAAGTCCTGAGCATCAATGATACACTGCAACAGTGCCAGGAGTATTTTCGCAGTTGTAAGAAACGATTTTATTGGATAAATATTGGTTTCTAATGACGCTTTTTTCGGCACAGTCTGCTATAAGGATCGTGATTGGTCAAAATCATGCACATGACCTAAGACAGCCAATCATATTACAGCAATGGATACCTCCTAGTAAAAGAAAACTTAAGATTTAGCCAAAAGGTTTGGGTAAAACTATGCTATTCTGAGGTATAATTCTGAACGTTTTAAGCAAACAATCACCACCTATACGTGATTATGGAACTAAGAGGACGTATCGTGCTAGTTTATGACCTGTGACAATGATGCATAAACCAGGGATAATCTACAACGTGATATAGTCTCCCTGATTAAACATATTAAGAGTGAAGTCCGATGCGCCGAAAGCCGAGATGTCACTTCACTTACATTACATGATCGCACAAAAAACAAATGGAAATAGTAATTTATAATGTACGTTTTGACAACTTTTATGAGTACAGCTGTTGATTGTATTCATTAGTTTATTTCCTTGAAACATCGTTTTAATACTTTGTTCATTGACAATTTTGATGTGGACCTAAGGATGTGTCCGAGAATCTTTTCTGTTTGAAAAAGAAAATTTTGCGAAAAATAGTTTATATTTCTAATTATGTCGATAATGTATGGTCAATAAAATGTGATAAGTGTTTTCAGTCATTGTGAAAAGTGACAGATTTAATAAATGAATTATTAGTCACAATTTTGAAGCCTGACATGTCAGAAACATTTTGGTTTTTAGTGTGTATTTTTCCCGCCGACTATATGTTTTGATATGTTAAGTCGAAGCGCCCCCACAAAAAAACTGAAGTGATTTTTTTTCCAGCCTCCCGACTCTGCATTTCAGTTGAAAAAATCCGTAATCCAAGTTATTTAAAAAGGGTGGCCTAATGGACTACAATGGTTTGACTTGTGCTTGGCGCTCCACATCTACCGGAGTGTCAAAGGATATAGAGTCGTATGTCAAAAAGGAGATATACACTACAGAGCTGAAATGTGGCTTTGCTGTTCAACAATGCATACCCGATTTGAAAGTGTGAAGCTATTGGGGAACGTCATATTTTTGCACAGAATAAAAGTACACAGTAACCTTTCAGGGAATTCAGGTCACATTTGTGTGTTGTCCCGTAAATGAAAATCACATCTACAAGAGCCGAGTTTGACTAAATCAATAGCATGCGTTGACAACAAGTGTTTGCGAAAAGTTGAGCGCAACCTGCCCCAACTGGGAACGTATGATACAAGTTTTAATGTATCCTTGAATGAGGTGGGGCGTTGGGGTAGCTTAGTGGTTAAAGCGTTGGCTCGTCACGCCGAAGACACGGGTTCGAATCTCACATTGGTACAATGTGTGAAGCCCATTTCTGGTGTCCCCCGCCGTGATGTTGCTGGAATATTGCTAAAAGTGGCGTAAAACCAAACTCACTCAGTCAGTCCTTGAATGAGGTCACCTTGATCGAACCTCTTCTGAGGAAGACAACGCCTCGTGATATTTAAGGTCTAAGAGCAAAGACGACTTTCCTGAAACAATCGATGCCAGCGATCTGTTTCAGGAGAATGTCAAAGCTAAAAGTCACCCTATATAAAACTTTCAAAGAAATTTCACAAATACCAGACACAAAAGGTCTGCTTATGCAAAGATACCGTCGCTCTCCCGTTAGTGACATTCCATTTTTGCAGTTTGTCATGTGGACATCATATTTTCTTGTCAAATGAAGCCCGAACACACTTATCCAGAATGAAAATCAGAGGTTGGTGAGATGGCGATTGAGTTTGCAAGAATACCGATGTGAGATTTTGAAAAACACAGGCAGTAAAAAAATGAATAGTTTGTCGTTTTTGAAAACGTACTGAAGGTGTTGTGAACCAGCACATTGGAACTAAAATACATTGGTGAATATGTTTAAATAAATGAATTCTTATTATATTTCTACTGCATCCTTTGTATTTTGTGTTTATGTGAAAAATGTCTGTTCTTGAACACGCTGAGATGTTCTTACAGAAAACGATTTTGTTGAAATGAGTAACATCAATTGTAACATCAAATCATTTAGAAGTCACATGAAATAAAATAATATATATGTGAATGTTGTTGACGTTTGATAAACTGAGAGTGCGTATAATTCACATTCATTTGGGGGCGGTAGAGTAGCCGAAGTCACGCCGAAGACCCGGGTTCGATTCCCCATATGGGCACAATGTGCGAGGCCATTTCTGGTGTCCCCCGCCGTGATATTTCTACAATATTGCTAAAAGCGGCGTAAAACTAAACTAACTCACTAATTTCACATTCGAGACTTACGTCCTTTGTACTCTTTGTTCTTTGCAAGATTGGTCAGTAACTAATCATTGCTAAACTGTACATCTCTGGGTGCTAATAGTACCGTCATTTATGTATCTGAACATTATCAAACTCAGTGTATTAAAACTACATTCACATTGTAAGTGATATTGAGTCATATTGAGTCACAATCGTTTAATTATACCAGCCCATGTTTCCTCTCACAATCCTCAAATAGGTCGTTCAATTCAATCTAAAGGTTTACTTGTCACAATACATACTGATTATCTTAAAAGCTTTATTTTATGCATCCAGTCATAAATCAGCTGATGAAGATGACACTTTACACACATAATTAACAACATAATATTTTTTAACATAGCACGTTCTACTGTCTATTGGTAATGGAGTTGACTGACTGACTGAGTTTAGTTTTACGCCGCTTTTAGCAATATTCCAGCAATATCACGGCGGAGGACACCAGAAATGGGCTTAACACATTGTGCCCATGTGGGGAATCGAACCCGGGTCTTCGGCGTGACGAGTCAACGCTTTAACCACTAGGCTACCCACCGCCCCGGTAATGGAGTTGAACACAAGTATGAAAATGATAACGAATCCATTAACATATCTGTCAGGTGTGCTTTGGAGTTTTCAATGTACAACTGTATAAGTTCTAGAATCTTTCAAACTGTAATACCTCACAAACATAGGGCGATAACGTACATACAGCGCTCATTTTAGCGCAAAAGATAAGAGGTCACAGTTATTCATCGAGAAGTTCGATGGTGTTTTCACCAAAAAGAGTTTCGTGTCATATATTTATCATTTTGAAGTAACTGCAACTTTTAATTTGTTACCTATTTTTGTACATATTCAAATACAACAACAACAACAACAGGGAATGAATAAACCATATACTGTAAAAATAAACACCTTTCGCGGTGATGCTGTTTCATTCGGCAGAAGTGTGGGTGAGGTGAGGTTAGGTGAAACTGTGTTTAACGCTTGAGAATATTACG